CATAATACGGGTAATTAGTCTAGATATCTAACTCCGTGAACCATTTTCAGTGTCTTTCTTTTTAATGATAGAGTTTGAGGTTGATATTGTTTGTGATTAGATATATTTTCTTTTTTTTAAATTAGAGTCCATATTTCTAACGTTTTTAGAGTAAAACGACAAGTTAGTATTATTAATGATTTAATAAATCAATTATATTGGTAATTAACGAAATAAGAGTAATGAAGTACACACTTATAAGAAGAAAAAACCTCACCCATGTATTATGAACTCTAGTTATAGGAAGATTAAATATTAAGGTTAATTTTCATTCAAACAAAACTTAATTTTGATTCTAAAATTATTGATCAAAATTGTTGGATAAAGAAAATAAACAAAAATTTAACATTAAAATTAATTTTTATTAAAGAACACTTAATTTATATANTTACAGTCATCGAATATAACCGTTGAATTTAAAACTTTAGATACAAAAGAGTATTCCAAAACTATACACCAAAATAAACAACCTAAATAAACTAAACAACAACATCCTCGCCCTCCAAAGCCTACTCTAGAGGAACCTCATTTTCCTTTGCTCACATTCATCGGATGATCATTGCAAAAGAAAAACACCACACATACAAAATACAAACACAAGCAGAAGGGTAAGCTAGATATACAAGAAAACATACAATTTAATATCACATAATATACATAAGATAAATCAATCAAAGTAACTAAATCAAACATGCTAGCATGTTATGTTCTAGACTTGACTTGTCCGGACTTAGAATGATTGTCGAGTTATGGCAAGTCATGCACTCGTGGTGGCCTCTACTGCTTTGCAAAACCATTGTCAATGGATTTCACCCTACCACACTCCCGAGGTTAGTCTCTTCCGGGCCTTGAGGCATACTGGAAGCCCCCAAGACTAAGACCTTCTACTACTCTTCACGACATGGTTCAATCCTCTCTACTTGAGAATGAAAGACCATTGGAGTTTCAGGATAACCCCCAAGATTGAACTCCTGCATTCACTCTAAACACCCTAGAATCTCACCAAGAGATTCTACACTAAAGCTTACATTCCTCACTTTGATTCACATACTTTTACTGTGAACATGACTCATAATCATACTAAATCATATACCTTATTTCATACATCAGACAAGCTTTACAATGTATTGCAATTCATTCAGGTTTAGTGAATACAAGAAAGAAAAAGGTGAACAATAACCTAGACCATTCGCATAGCGCACACATTCGCAAAGCAAATCCAGAGGTTACTTGCACAGTGACCCAACTCGCTGTGCGAATCCTCAGACAAAGACCCACCCCTCATAACCATTCGCACAGCAATTAAATTCGTTGTGTGAATAAACTCTTAATTGTATCAGACCCTAACCCCTCGCATAACGCTCCAGTTCGCTATGCGAGAGCCCCATCCAGTGGCTTAGACTCCCCAAACCCTCGCAGAGCGCACCTATTCGCTATTCGAATAAAAATGGCAGTAGCCCTAGACCCCAACCAGGCGCATAGCGCCCTGATTCGCTATGCGGATCATCAGATAGAGAGAAAATCTCTATAATCATTCGCACAGCGCACCAATTCACTGTGTGAATGCCCTAGTAGAGCGCGTCTCGCCAGGGCGACTCGTTGTGTGAATCTATTCGCTCAGCGAATCTGCATAATCTACAGAACAAAAATCTGCAAAATTATGCAACTCAAACCCCAATTACCAATTCTATCTATTTTTCCCAACTTCTAACACTCCTAGATTGTGTTATATACCTAATTATACTGGACTAAGTGATTCTAAACGTTTCTAACATCAATATAAAGTGCTTATGGATCAATTCCTACTCTAGAACATTAAATTTATCAACTTAGGGACCCAAATCACAATCTACCACTTTGAACATGTTTTTGACCATTTTGATGACTCAAACAAGTCACATTTGACTTACCCAAATTTTCCCAACAGACCAATCGAGCCCTCAACTCCAATTACTCATTTTCGCTACCTCACTTCCTCTAATTAGCTTTAAACTAAGACCACTTGTTTTTTATTCATAACCATTCACTACTAACACAGATTTAACACTTCTCATGCATCTAAAACAGTCCAAACATCATCCAATTTAGTACATTTTTTACAGTTCAAACATGCACATTCAAAACAGCCACATTGCATACATGAATTCTAACAAAATCATCCAAGTTTCAGTCCAACAACTCTAATATTAACATATCATATACACATGACAGAAATCATTCAATAGTTAAAAAGAAAATCCAGCTTCCCTTACCTCACTCAAGCTCTACACAACTCACAGAAGACTGAAACTTGCACCACAAGGAAACTCAACAGAAACCTGCAATTTACCAATTGGTGATAGAAAACAGCTCTTAGAACCTAAATTGAGCTGAGAATTGAAGAGGGAAATTGTTATACACATGCAGTAGAAACAATTGCATGATCAAGGTTCAAGAACGTAAGGGAAAAAGGGAAAAACGACTTACCGACCCAGAATAAGAAATTGATCGGTCTAGATTGTTGCCCTCACTAGTGAAAAAACAACGTACAACGTCATGCGTTTAACGTCTAACCACTAAATAACCAACGTTAAAAATGACCGGTCGTAATTTTGTAAACAAATGCAATTATTAAAACGTCGTTTAGAATTATAATTGGATGTAAGACGATACGAAACGTCGAATGCCTCAGCGTTAGACATCAAAAGGCCAATGAATTCAATAAAAATTTGAGCGGGAGATTGAAAATTCATTCACTTTATCTTAGCGCGCGAGACCCTCTTCTCTGCTCAAACTTTTCTCGAACGACGTTTGACAACCATCACATGTAATATTTATTTCATTTGATACAAATGCATGTTAACTAACTACTTTAGGTATGATTTTCGTTTGTTTTCACCGATTATTTTCGTGTTTTTGTCCTTCATAGGCGCATTTTGCTTTCTCTCTCACTGGTGGCAAAGCTTTATTCCGATGAACCCACCTTTTAAACGTTAGTTTTCGTTTTCGTTTTGAAGAACTTATTTGTTAAACTTGTTTGTTGTTTTTTTTGTTGAATTTGTTTGTTGTTGTTTGGTTGAACTTGTTTGTTGTTGTTGTTTGATTGAACTTGTTTTTTGTTTGATTGAACTTGTTTGTTGTTTATTATTGTTATTTGTTGTTGATCCTATATTATCGTTCATAGTTCTGCTTTTCAAGTTTAGTAGAGTTGTTAAAAAGGATTACAATTAATTAAAAATATAAAAAAAATTGATTAACGTCGTATATGTTCAAAATTCGACGTTAAATTAACGTCGTATATTGACAAAATTCGACGTTAAATTAACGTCAAATTTTTAAATTTGACGTCAATTTAACGTCTTTCGATATGACGTCGTTCTCGAATTCGACGTGAAAGGCCAAAAATATTCGACGTTGTACGCTGTTTTTATACTAGTGCCTTGACGTTAGAATCATCTAGGCACTTCCTGATCATCAATCAAAGACTCCAATTATGAGAAAAGTTAGAGAAAAGGTAGAAAAAGGAAAGGATACATTATTTTAAAGAGATAGTACGTATTCAGATAATGAATCGAAATTTATAAATTTATATTTATATTATAAGATTATTTTATAATAAAATACTCGATCTCTTTATTTTAATCTATCTACTCTAATACTCTAATTTCTATATCGTTACAAAAACTAATAAATATAATTTTTTATATAAATAAGAAATATTCTGCTTAATTAAAGTTGTTACTTAAAATAATCTAACTACATCTTAGTTTTGAAATATTATATTTTATTTTATTTATATTGATTATATTAATTAAAAATTTCCTTTCTTCAATATTAAATGAACTATAATTAATAATAAGGCCTAAAAATAATTATTAAAAGATAAAATTATAAATAATTTTAGAGAAATCAAAAACAAACTAGGTCGGCCAAAAATAATATTTAATTGATAATGTTAATTTTAGTAAAAGAATTAAATTTAAATTTAGTAACTTGCTCCGTATTTAATGCTACAAATAATGTGAGAGATACACGGAATGTGGCTCATCATGACAGTTGTGTCTCATTCGCAGATCGCACACTTACCACACACAGTGTCTTGCATCAACATTCAACACAGTAATTATTTATTTTATTCATTTTCTTCCTGTTTTTTTATACTTTCATCTTTTCAACGTTGCTTCTACACAATTCGAAATAAAATTCTAACGGTAGAATGATTGGTATTCTACTTTACGAGTTTTGATGATTGAACAGAGATTTTTCACTAAATTGCAATTAATGATTTTAAATTGTAATATTATTAGCTTTTTAAATGTAAATAAAATCGATAAATTTATATTATCGAAATTAAATTTTAGAACCAAACTTTTAAATAAAACTATCTATTAGATATACAGGCATAATACGGGTAATTAGTCTAGATATCTAATTCCGTGAACCATTTTCAGTGTTTTTCTTTTTAATGATAGAGTTTGAGGTTGATATTGTTTGTGATTAGATATATTTTCTTTTTTTTAAATTAGAGTCTTTTAGAGTAAAACGACAAGTTAGTATTATTAATGATTTAATAAATCAATTATATTGGTAATTAACGAAATAAGAGTAATGAAGTACACACTTATAAGAAGAAAAAACCTCACCCATGTATTATGAACTCTAGTTATAGGAAGATTAAATATTAAGGTTAATTTTCATTCAAACAAAACTTAATTTTAATTCTAAAATTATTGATCAAAATTGTCGGATAAAGAAAATAAACAAAAATTTAACATTAAAATTAATTTTTATTAAAGAACACTTAATTTATATATATATATATATATATATCAATTCTAAAGTTATTGATCAAAATGATCGATAAAGAGAATAATACTAGAATGTTTTGTTACATTATTAAATAGTATAATAAAGATAGGTAAGAAGAGAACAAGAAAAATAAACGGAAAAGTAGTGTTGTGTTAAAATAACATTAATGGCAATTTCTTATACAAAAGAAGAAGAAGAAGAAAGAAAAAGAGCATTGCATTTCCTTTATTGTTACTATTAATATTATTGATGGATATGAAGTGTTGGACTTTGACTCTTGAGTCACCACATTCCTCTGAACACTTAACTTAGCAGAGTATGTTTATAAGATTAGGAAGGTCCTCTCCAAGCACTGCAATTCTGTACAATCACACCAAACTCTACAATTACTATGTTCAGTGGGTGCTACAAAAACAACAAATGTAGTAGCACTTGGTGGGTCTAATACATAATTAATTACACACCAGCTCAAATTTTTCCTTCTTATTATTATTATTACTTTCTTTTTGGTCTTCTTTTTTCCTAACAAAGCAGGGGACAAAACTGAAACATGAAAAACTCCATCAGCTAGTGAAAGCCCCCTCCAACCATGCTTGCGGCCTTCGCCTCATCAGCTGGTTTTGGAGTTGGCAGCAACACAATCGCCATTATGGCGCTCAGCGCCGCCGCCGCCGCCCCCACCATGAAAGCCGGCAAGTTGCCACCACCAAACAAAGCATCCCAAGGACCACTCAATGCAGACACCACCATCTGTACATTCACATGTGTAAATACATACATACTCAAATAATTCACTAATAATGAGAAAAAAATATATCAGGATCTGAATTCTTACCTGTGGTACCACAATTGCAAGATTCAGGACTCCCAATGATAAACCTGAATCAACCAAAATTAATTAGTAAAACCCAATTGAATAAATAAAATTATCTAATCGAGACAGGTTGTGAATTTATCTGTACCTTGCCCTGCTCCTGAAGCACTGGAGTATATAGATGCAAGAGCAAAAGGAACACTGAAAGTAATCTGAACACAATAATAAAAAATACATCATTAGTTTTAATTAAGGCAAGTAGATCATTTTTAAGCTTTTCATTCGATTCAACTTTTTCACATACTACCTTCTTTTTCTAATGCTTCAATAAACCTCGTTTTTAATGTAGGGTATGTTTCTTTTATCATTTTTTTTCAATCGGTATATGAATTATTATGAACAGTTTCTGACACACATTAGGTAATCCCTGCCAAAAAATATTAGACTGACAAGAAGTCCAAACCAAAACTCCACCGGTCAAAAGAGTCCACTTTTTTAGACTTTTCAAGATTCTTTATACAAGAGTAATGATCAAAGATTACAAACTCGCATTTAATTTTCTCTTTTCCAAGAAGAAACACTCTTAGATGTTTATCTGTTTGCATTTTTTAATAAACTTATTTCGTTATAAAAAATAGCCTTAAAAAAAATTATAAGAGAATTTATGTATGTATGACAACTTGGTACGGCCCAACTGCTGTCCAACACCACGGTTGTCCATAATTATTTTTGAAGAAATATAAACAAAATAAAGTAGGGATTAATATGCATGTGAACAAATATTATATATATATATATATATATATATATATATATATATGTGTGTGTGTGTGTGTAAAAAACGATTTTTGTAAGATGTAGGGATTAAAACATAAACATTAAAAAGGTTAAATGAATAATTTAATTACCGAAATGATGGGTTGATGATTTAATCGATTTAGAAAGAAACGTTAAAGTTTGTAAATTTGTAACCCAAAATCAGTAAACCAAACGCAGTCGTTTAAAACACGTCGAGAACAGAGAGAAAACGTTACCGCAAGGGGTACTCCGAGAACGGCGAAGAAAACCATGGACCCAACTGTGACGCCGGTGGAGGGGTGGCCCACTGCGGCGGGGTTCATGTGGCGCTCGTGCTCCGCCACCTTGGTTATGACGATGGTCATCCCGAACCCAATCGCGAGAATGAAGTTCACGATGCCCCACAGCCTCTTCACTCCCCCAACCATGCGCCCCAACGGTTCAACCGCCAGCGACATGAACCCCAAAACGACGGCGTTTACCATGAGTCCCAGAGACCCCACGCGCACCCCCTTCGCGTACGCGTCCTCTCCAGCCGTTCCACCGTACACCTCGCGACCCATCCAGTCAGTGTCGAACAGGAAGTAGGGGAACCACCCGACCCAGTTGATAGCTGTAACCAACATGAGCATCCACATGGGTCTTTTCAGCTCCTTCAACGCCCCGAAGAGCTGAAAGAAACACGAGGGCTGCACGTCCTCTTGCACCGCCCGTGGCGGTACGGGCTTGTCCTTTACGTAAATGAGAGCTACCGTGGCCAAGAACAGCAGCAACAAGATCGAGAAAAAGAAACAGCTTTTCAGATTGGCGCAGAAAACATCGCACGCCTTGGTCTGCGTGAAGGGAAAAATCTTGTGCAGAGAACTATAAGACCCCGCTGCGTATCCCAACACGTTGCCGACGGCCATGAAGAACGAGAAAAACCCATTTGCTATTCTGGTTTTTCTCTGGTCCCCAGCCGCTAAGTCAGCCAGAAAGGCACGGCAAGGACCTTGTAACATGTTGTTTGCAACATCTAGGATCCAAAATCCTATGACGAACACCCCAACGGCCCGAGGACGGGTTTTTTTGGTTATGTCGTCGCCAGCTGAGTACCCTATATCGGCTGCATAACCGATAAGAAATACAGCTATGGCGACAGCCACTGCACCTCCGAGAATAAAGGGGCGTCTGCGACCGAAGCGAGAAGTGCTTTTGTCGCTGTAGTAGCCCACAATGGGCTGCACCACAAGTCCGGAGATGGGACCGCAGAGCCAGATGAAGGAGGCTGCGGCGTGTGGAACTCCTAAGAGCTGAACGTAAGGGGTGAGCAGAGAAAGCTGAAGAGCCCACCCGAACTGTATGCCCGCGGCTATGGACGCCACAGCAAACATTTTTCGGAGTGGGCTCGGCTCAGCCTGGCTGGCCTCCACACTGAGGGTGGTGATGGAAGGCTTTGTTGGGTCAATGGGTTTGGTTGGAGATGGTGCCTCCATAGTGAAGAAATTTCCTCAAAAGAGAGAAACCTTGTTTGTCTCTCAGTGTGTTTTGTTTTCTCACAAGAGGAAGAACAAGAGAAGATATGTTGTGTGTGGAAGGAAAGAGGGAGTGTGGGATTTTATAGCGTGGGGAGAATGGATTCAACTAAATTTAGACAGTGAAATGTAGCTTAATGTGTGTGGATATATTTTTCATAATTCATAATGGATAATTAAGTTTATCCCTTTTTCCTCTCATATGTTATTATGTTCAGAGAGAGAGAGAGAGAGAGAAAGGGATCAAAGTGCAATGGGTCCTATTATTCTCAGCTTCTTCCTCGAATTCCTGTGATTTTACTTTTATCTTTTATCTTATCTTATCACCCCCTTAATGCATGAATTTCGGTTTACTGTTACATAAAGAATCTTTAGTTGTATGAAAAATTCTCCAACATCACCTCTCTCTAATTAGACCGTTAAAAAATAAAAAAGAAAGAAAAAAGTGTAAATATAATATACGGTATAGTTTAAGAAAATTAAAAAAAAA